GCGGGGGGAGAAGCTCTGTCCTCTTCTCTCTCGTCTCGTCTTGTCTTCTCCACATGAGCTACCTAAGCTTTGATACCCAAATTCACGGGTGTCGTTTTCGTCCTTTGTCAAACGTTGTTTCCGTTGTGGCGTTCATGTGCTGTAACTCGAGACATTCCTTTCTCTTTTGTCTCTAATTTATTGAATGCTACGCTGAGACAAAAACGCTGGCGTTGCTGTTGGCGTTGGCGTTGGCCATTTGTCTTGAGGCCTCTGCCTCTTTTAGCTTTCCCCTCAATTCGTGTTCGACCCCGGATGGTTCAGATGTGACACCAACAGCGAGAAAACATGATGTCTCATAAAATCCACGAACACTCACTTGCCCAGGCAATTTAATCAGCCACCCTATTCCTTCTTGCATTTTCGTTTGCAACAAAAGGTCTTTTCTCATCACATCCTTTTTCGTTGCCATCTTTCTCTTCCCTGCTTTACGTGCATCGACATCATATGCCCAGTGCATCCTTCACTGCATAATGCAGTCTAGTTGTCCCCCCCTCTTCATCTTAGCCAAGCCATCGCTGCAGGATCTCCCTCTTCTCTGTTTTGTTTGCCGAATCTCACTCAATTCGCCTGCTGCACTGTAACATCCCGCACTGCCCACTGATCGACACCCTTCCCTTCTGCTTTGGGCTACACGGTGCCTTCAGCTCGCCAATCTAGCAATGAGTTGAGATCCACTTGATTCGTAGCCAAGATTCAAGGAGGAGACCTTAAGAACTTATCCCGGTCGTAGCCCGTTCCAGACGCAAACGTCAAAAGATGCCTAAGCCATGTGTAAGGAATTTTTGCTCTCGTTTGGTCTTGACACCGTGGACCGGACAGCTCGGAGCCGCGATTTTAATCTTTGGGATATGGGATCTGGGACCCTCCAGTGAAGTTAATTGGCACGAGGCACAATCTCATTGAATGATTGTGTGAGATTGATATGAGACTGATCCACTGTCAACGGATCCGGTGATGTTAAAGGTCGAGTTGAAGATCTTGGCGCTTTTTCCACATGGCATTGTGCGCTAAGTCTTTTGACAGAGTGGAGGTGGCTGGCTATTCTTATCTCTTTTGGCTGCGTGCATGCGTGAAACTCGTGCTCTTGCTGGTTGACAATTGCGATGCCGGAAGAGGCGGGGGGGGTTTTGGAAGCGGCGGTTCTTTTTTAGCGGTCGAAGGAATTGAGTTCTACTATGTAAGCGGAACTGTTGCCGTGCGTTGGCCATTTGCCGTTGGTGACTGAGCTTGAAGTCCGGCTCCGTGTCGGCCGGCACGGGAGCCGAGACGTCGTGATGTCGGATCTCGAGTCGGTAAATGAGATTTAATGAGAGGTAATGAAGTAGAAACTGAATTTTAATCGATTGATGCTCATGTCTTGTAGATCAGAGTCTGGGAGGGTAATGTAAAGTGAGATGAAGTGAGGTGATCATTGTAGGGCTGGTTCAATTGCGACCGCTGCTCGTCGTTCAACGAGGACAAATCGCAGAGCCGCGTCTTATGATATGACCCTCTGAAGTGGAAGTTCTAGAAGAAATAATTGAAATCTAATCGACCCAGGTTCTTTAGTCCAATTTGTCTACGGAGTAGCGTCGCAGTCAACATCATGTCACGAAAGTGCTGAGTTGGTTCAATCACCGCGACTGCGCTGTTCATGGCCAGACACGCAAAAGGAGGGCTCTTCTGCAGAAACAGTCATTGCGATTACTACCTAGACAAGTTTAAGCCTCGAGAGAGTTACTTGGGGCTCAATGCGTATCTACTGATCTTTGGCCTGTGATGCCCTACGGCGAAGGGTTGACGAGTTGGTTCAATCGCGACACCGAGTAGATGAGGGCATCGTCGCAGAGTCACACGTCGCGGATGCTACCAATTAATTATCGTGAGAGATCTAAATGAGTGACGACTTCACGTAGGCTCGTGGAGATGGTCGGTCCGAATTAGCAGTCGTTGTTGTGAGATGCAGCGTTGCCAACTGCGACAGCTCTGTCATGGCCAGCGTAAGTGTCGTTGCAGAGCCGCATGCGACTTGGCAGAGCTGATATCTCGAGAGGATCAATAGATCGCTTGTCGCGCGGTCTATAAAAGCAAGTCTACTGTCACGAGATGCAATGTGATGCGATGTGATGTGATGCACCTCAACTGTGCTCTCCCATCACGAGTCGCTGCTTGCTATTCATAGAAGGAAGATAGGGAGATAAACTGCAATCAAACCAATCGATAGTCCCCTATGAAGAGACTGAAGGCTCTCTAGAAAGAGACTTGACGATTGGACTGTCCTGTTGTGATGTCGTGGCTGTTCGTCTCACTGCACGTTCGTCACTTGACCATCGAAGCATCGCCCGCCACGAACAAAGGCTCAATTGGCTTCACTTTTGTGATATCCTGTGTCGCATGACCTACTATATGGTGCCTGGTATCAATCTAGTGATCCAGATTGTTCTATTGCCATGAGTTGTGGCCTTCTGCCAATTGAGGTCCGCGACAATGCTCTCCACGAGACTGACCAAGACGGCCGTTGTCGCATCGAACGGGCTTATGAATTAATATAACGAGGTATAGTACTTATTTTCTTACTAGCAGATCGATTTTGAATGCAGTCATGCTTCCTATGGTGAGTTTGGTCAATCACAAGTCTTCTTGTGATGTCGTTCTGTACACGATCGTCAATCGGCCGTCGAAGCAGCATGTCTTTCCATGCCGAACAAAAGGTCTGTTGACCCAGATTTAGTGATTCCCTGTGTTGCAAGGCTTGCTATAGTATGTCTGTGTGAGTTTTATCCATTTATATTGTTCTTCTGCCATTTGCACAACGAGTTCCGCGATCTCTTTGGCGTTGGATATCGCCGAAGACTGCCGTTTTCGCGCTTGACGATCCCAACATCAAATCTATTGAGACTAAACTCTCACTTACCAGTTAAGTGATCAATTATGCATATGTCAAAGCTCACTGGAGTGATTGTGATCCATTGGGCGCCACGCTGTGATGTCGTCGCTCGTTGTTGTACGTAATCGTCGATCAATCGTCGAAGAAGCATGTCTGTTCATGCCAAACAAAAGCTCGGTTGGCCCAGCCCTCACAGTAATTGATAGCTTTCGGCTCAAAATAGTATGTCGGAAAGAACACTGCTTACTTCGATTGCTTTGTTGTCATGACACAAGGTATGTCGCGGCTGAGTCCTCCGACGACATTCAATAAGACTGCCGACGACCGTGCCAGAGAACCCCAGTATTAGATGTATCGAGATGAAGTGCTAAATATCTAACTGAATAGACTTGAAAATCCATGCTACGGCTCATTAAAGTGAGTACAGATCATGGCGCCGTGTTGTGACGTCGCCGCTCGTTGCTCTCGACGTGATCTTCAATCGTGATCGTAAGCACCATATCGAACAAGAGCGAAAGAAGGCTCTATTGCTTGGCCACTACAATTAAAAGTATCGCTCGGTCCATTCGATTATGTTCGAAGGTGCTCCATCTATCTCAAATGTTCTGTTGCCCGGAATTGCTGTGTTCATCTCACTGAATCGTGAGACTGATCAAGACTCTCGGTCACCGCGTCCCAGGGTCCCAATATCAATAAACTGAGATCAACTCGTCTTTAACCGATAAGGGGAACTCTATTCTGTATATTAGTGCTCACTAATATGAGATAAATTAGTTAGGTCGTCGGTTACAGTGTCGCCGCTCGTCCCTCTATGCGCAATCGCCAGTTGTCATTCATCAAGATCGCTACACATTGCATACAACGAGTGGGGCCTTGTTGACTTAGTTCTACCAGTAAATCCCGTCTCTCTGGTCATTCAAACATGTGTGGGAAAGTTCAAGTCGTCTTGAATGTGCTGTCGTGGAACGCTCAGGTCCGCAACGACATTCTCGCTGATGCTGCGAGACTGGGCAACGCTGCCGTTCCAAACAACGATAATGAGATCAACTAGATGAGGGACAGTTGGGGACCTCTTGAGTATCTCTCAAGATCAATGAAGTGACACCAGCCCAATTGGGGCCCTTGTTGTGATGTCCTCGCTCACGGTTCTGCTGCACAATCGTCAATCGTCCACCTTCACCATCAAGACACTCTACCACTCACGACAAACGAAAGCTCTTTTGACTCAGCTCTTTCCATAGATTATTTCGCCCGGTCCATTAGATCATGTCCAAATGACTGCGACTCATCTCCGATATCCTGCTGCAGCATATTGAGGTCCGCCATGAGACGTTCTCTGATGCTCTAAGGCTGTCCAAGACTGCCACTCAACATCAAAGATACGGAGATAGAGTGTTTGTCTCATAATCTATGGGTCTCTTTAATGCCTTTAGGTAGCCAGTATGGTGAATTAATCCCGAGAAATGCCATGTTGCGATATCACTGCTCTCGTTCCGCTAGTCAATCGTCAATCATCGCCATCGAGCCACTCCATTGCGCGCGCTCAACGACAGCTCTTTTGACATAATATTCACCGTTTCCTGTATCACTAGGTCCATTAGAATATTTCTAAGAGCGTTCGACCAATTCCCGCCGTTCCATCGCGACAGGCTGAAGTTTTGGAACAGCCGCCCTCACCAGAGATGTTCAATCGAACAGCTCTCAACCACCTTTTTCATCAAAGGCTCATCTAGCATTATCTCGGAGGTTTCTATTGGCTTTCTAACTCTTATAAGACTAATAATAGGGCTCTCTTGCTTGTCAATCCCTCTGTGACGCATGCCAGTGCTCGCGCACAAGCCGTCTGAATCAGTGAACTGATCGAGAACAATCGCCGTGGACGCTGATTCACTCTCAATCACTAGAATAAATGCACAACACTTTCCATTCAATTCCTAGGTAGCCTCTACTTTCTCTCTTCCATCCTCTTCCGCTGCCTAGTCTTCTGTTTGCGCCCCAAGCAACCTGCGACGAGTGTCTTGATTGTCAAACCAAACACCACCATCAACACCACCTACTTCCAGTATTTCGACAACAAAACACCATCGCAGTCATGTTCAACCTCACATCTCCCTCCGACGCCAGTCGCAAGGTCACCAAGAAAGCCTCGCGCGTGATGTCGAGCCTCAAAAAGACCCTCTGGTCAACCCTCTCCAAGACCCCCAAGCAGCATCTCAAGGAGCAGAAGCCCAAGTACCAGCTTTGCAGCAACCCCAGCATTACTGTTACAGATACTGAGACCGGCGAGGAGTGGGACTTCATCGATCATGATGAACTTGATGGTGATCTCGCGAACAGCCATGACACTCGCACTTTGAGAGAGGAACTCGAGATGAATGCGCGCGAACAGGACGATCTCCTGTATTCGCGCCGCTGGATGAACTAGGCTTCCAGCTTGGCGACTGCGCTGCCACTGCGATGTCCAGTTGTGCGTGTGCATCGACTGGTATGGGCAGAGATACATACTGGCTGTTCGACGAAACTCGCCAGTACCAGTGGAACAAGAGATCTCTGGACGGCGGCAGCATCGCCTCGAGATTGACAGTATATAATTCCATTCTCTGGCCTCTCATTCCTCTCCTCATCCATCCTCGACATCACTTCCAGCCGGAACTTCCTTAAGATCAGCAACCATCCTCTCCATCCTACCAACGCCTATTCACACCCATTTTTGGACACCTGACACCACGACCTCTTCACTATCTCAATGAACCTTCGACTACCGACATCAGCCTATACACCTGAGCTGAACTACCTTACACGACAACCCTCTTCACCATCCCTAGCTACCGAGTGCACATAGCCCGTCATGTTCTCGATGCTAGTAAAGAAGGTGACCGCCTTCATCAAAGGCCCATCCGACGAAGATAAGGACCGCGACCAGAAGGAGAATACTGTCAACCAGCCCAAGGACACCACCGAGCCTTGGGAAGTCATCCCAACCATCAAGGATGAACCTTGGGCCGTTGTCGTCAAGAGCCGCAGTGCGATTACGGAGTTCGACGACAGCGGGTCCAACCGCCAGACCCAGTATGAGCGTACTTACCAGTACGAGTTTGACCGTCGGGTCGTAGAGGCTGATCGCCGAGCAATGCGTGAGGCTGAAATACGAGCATCCAAGTAGGCGTGTCCTTAGTAGGCGGTCCCTTGTAAGCTGCAGAAGTAAGAGTTGTCCACGCTTTGTGAATGATCTTTTCTTGGTAAGTTTTCTGGGCAATGCTAAGTATGCGCCCCCTAAATTGGGATCTTGGTCGTAGAATAGAGACTGACTAACTGTGGCTCGGTAGACAAGATGAGCTTTCTTTAGATAGAGAGTACATAGACTACTTGGACGATAGGATTAGAGTCAGGCGAAATGAGGGTATTGAGATTTGGATTGACTAGACGGATTGGATAACTAGACAGCTGATAGTACACTATTGTATTAAAGCGTCTGTAGATAGGTATTTAATCTGTTGCCTCAATCATCGGCCTCTGAGGCCATCTCCACTAAACTGTGTCGTGTCTAACAAAGAAAACTTCTCAATCTCCCTTCAAAATGCATGATTCATCTGTCAACAAACTCCGACATTATACAGCTCATCACCAGGGATGATGGTTGAACAGGTACCCAAGAGGACTGCCTGTTCGGTACGACTGCTCGCTGCCCCCAGTTCTGCTCGAGCGTCCAAGACTCGCGCGACTTGCCATGTCACGCTTACTACCCTTTGTAGTAAACGAGACCTCAGACTTGGCATCCGCCTCTGAATTGTCCGTGGATGTAGAGATCAGTCTGCGTTCCTATTCTGCGACTCTCTCTCCGCCTCCGCGCCAGAGCCCGTAGAAGCCCTCACAATTCTTCCAAAGCTTGATGGTACCATCCTCCGATCCTGTAGCATACATCTTGCCATCAGGCGAAAATGCAATTGACCAGATAGGTCCGTGATGTCCTTTGTGTACATCGAGTTCCTTTCCATCGTCGTATCGGATAACCTTGGCCCATGTGCCGGGCTCCTCGCCGACAACTAGCTTGCGACCCTTGAGATCGAGCGCAACACTAGCGATAGTGTAGGTCAGAGGAAAGCGTTTGAGCTCATCCATAGCATTGCGGCCACCCCAAAAGTACGCCGTCTTGCCAGCAGCAACAGCGAGAACTGGTAGTCCGCCACCAATGTCGGTAGGGGAAGCATACTGGGAATCCAGTGACACCATCTCGCAAGACTTGATGTCTCCATCAAGAACTTCATGTCGGATGCAGGCCCGGCTAGGCAGGTCGAGCCATCGAATTGTCTTGTCGGATGCGGTCACAACAATGTTAGGGTCCTGGGTCCAGCAAATGAACTTGATCGAACCAGTATGAACGCCTTCGCCGATCTCGAAGCCAGCGGAGGCGGGGATTGTAGCAGGGGACCCAGTAGAAGACAACTCGGAGAGATCAAAGATGCGCAACTTCTTCTCGAAACCGCCGGTCGCGATAAGATCCGAGTTGTCGGGAGGGTAGGCAATCGCACGGACAATGTGATCGTGTTGGAGCGTATAGAGCAACTCGCCGGAGTAGGTGTCCCAAATTTTGCTATGCAAATGTCAGCGGTGTTGGGTTTTGTGACGGAGAATACTCACGCCGTGAAATCAGCCGATGCAGTCGCTGCGCTGCAGGTATCAGGGCTCAGTCTAGCTTGCCAAACAGCACCCTTGTGACCGATGAAAGTGCCGATCCTATGCAAGTCAGAGGAGCTACCAGATCCAGTGGACAGGGACCTACCAATCGCCAGTCATGCCGTTTCGAAGCATAGGGTTGCCATCTATATCGTGTCAATATGCGCTCTGTCGAGACAAGACATTGACGAACCTTTGCAGGCTGAGATCAGAAAGAAGCTGTCGGTCTTCTTCTCGATCTCCTTCTCATTTTCCTTCTCAAAGCCAGAGAAGGCGATATGAGGAACAGGTCGGGAATGGCCGTGGCAGGTGAGAGGATGGTATTGTCGAGGTTCGGAAGCCATTGCGACAGCACAGAGAAGCGAAGACAAGCGGGGAATTGGTTCGTTGATGGAGTCTAGCCAATTGCGGCCAGCTGTACTATTCGATGTCGGTCTATAGAGTAGCAAGATACCCGATATTATTCGAGGATGTCAAAAATTGGAAATGAGAGAGGCCGTAACAGTCGTATGCGTCGTTAAGAGTGGTTTGGATCGTGACTCGTGGCAGAGCTTGTCGCGTGTCGTCGCAGAAGTGTAGAGCGTCTTTCTCGAGCAAATGGCAATGATGGGCCCAAAACTTGAAGGAAAGAGATAGAGAAGCGGAACGTTAAGGTCGTGATTGGATGGGGTCGTGTCGTGAGATCAAGAAAGCGTGAATGTTGCCCCCAAAGCGAACCCCCTTGAAGAGAAAGGAGAGGAGAGGAGAGGAAAGGAGGGCGGTGATGGATTTGCCAAATATTTGCGAAGACGGGGAGGACGAAACAGGTTGGACAGGGAAGGAAACAGCGGCGCGCATTCAAAATGACAGGGTCACGCTTGCCCAACTTGAGCAGCGGGCCTTGAGGAGCAAGAAAACTTGGGATTGGGACTTGAAATGAAGATGCCAAAATAAGCCCAGTAAAAATAGCCTAAACTTTGGCTAGAGCTGCCTTAATAATTTGATCTCTAAGGGTAGAGTTCTTAAGTTTTCTTGCAGCCTCGAGGCGGGGTTACACGACGGGGTCCTTCTTGCCGGTGGGCACCGCCACAAAGCGGGGTATAATTGGGGGCTACAATATCTTGACTTGACTTGAGAGACAAAGGTATTGATGTAGAGGACAAGGAATTATTTTGTGAGACAGATAGTAAGGGGCCTGAAGGTGCCTAAATGTGTAGAGTGTCTTTGGTTCAGCGTGTAGTGTTGTGAAAACGACCGGAATTCCATGCAAGATATATACAGCACTGCTCTCCCCTGAGTCCCCTCAACAGCTATTTCTGCCCAACTCTTGCTAAAGCAGTATCACCATAAAGGTAGAACAATAACTTATGATATATGCAGCAATCTAATTTTAGCCTTCCCATGGAATGTATGCTTAAATGCGAAGCAATAATGCCCGATAGTTCACGACATCTAAGCCCGAGCGACACTTTATGCCGGCCAAGTGGAGGTGGCTGGTGCTTAGTGACGTGACGCATTGAGTTGTGGCTTAAGCTGGACGGGACAGATCTGACGGGAAGGGGCAATCAATCGATCAGCTTCCATTACTGACCAACGATCAACTCTAGGTACGATTTGTCACGTTCCTCCCGTTCCTTTCATGATTTTTTGACGATACAACCTCTTCATACTCCCTGTGATTCATCCTTTTTTGTCGTTGGCGTTACCCTTGGTTAGAGAGATAGCAGGCCGTTCTCTTTCTTGACCCTGTTGCATCATCGTCCGTCCAGTCAATTCATCAAGCTCCCCCCTCCACTGCATTCAGCAGTGTCACGTACTCTCATCATCCATCCATCAAACCCACCTCCAGAAAAATGACCGACTTCAAGCTGTCGGCGCAATTGGTCGGGCACGAATCCGATGTAGGTATTTATTAGGCGACTTTCTCTGCATCTCGAAACACTAACGGATCGATAGGTTCGAGCCGCAACCTTCCCCTCTCCCGATACCGTCTTAACCGCCTCCCGCGACTGCAGCGTCCGCATATGGCGCCGCACCCAAGCATCTCTCCCGAACTTCGACGCAACCCTGGTCAGCCGTGGTTCCGAATACGTCAACTCGATCTCGTTCTTCCCTCCGTCCAGTGAGCACCCAGATGGCTATGTTGTCTCTGGTGGCAAGGATACCATCATCGAAGTCAAGTCCCCCAAAGCTTCCAGCTCCGATAACGCCGAACGCCTCTTGATCGGTCATTCTCACAACGTTTGCACGCTCGATGTCTCACCCGACGGTAAATACTTGGTATCAGGCGGCTGGGATGGCCAGGCGCGGGTATGGAGTCCTCAGAAATGGGAAACAGAGCTCTCGTTGAGCGGCCACGAAAGCATGGCCGTCTGGAGCGTTGTTGCATTTGATGAGCACACAGTAGTGACTGGCTGTGCCGACAAGAGCATCCGTATCTTTGACCTGCGGCAGTCTACCGCCGGTGAGGTGTCGCCAAGCTCTACCATCCACACACCTGACGTTGTCCGCGCCCTCTGTCGTGTACCGAACGGTCACCCCAGTGGTGCAGACATTGCGAGCGCAAGCAACGATGGAACAATCCGTCTGTGGAAGCTGAATGGTCAACAAGTCGCCGAGCTGCATGGACACGAAAGCTTTGTTTACTGTTTGGCCAGTCTTCCGACAGGTGAGCTGGTCAGTTCGGGAGAGGATCGTACCGTCAGGGTATGGAAGGGTACCGAATGTGTACAGACAATCACACATCCCGCCATTTCGGTATGGACGGTCGCTGCGAACCCCGAGACCGGCGACATCGTTACGGGTGCCAGCGACAGCATTGCCCGCGTCTTCACACGAAGTCCCGACCGTACTGCCGACCAAGCGACACTCAAGGAGTTTGAGGAGTCTGTCAAGGCGTCATCGATCCCTCAGCAACAGGTCGGGGGTGTCAACAAGGAGAAGCTCCCTGGCCCTGAGTTCCTGACCACTAAGGCGGGCACGAAGGAGGGACAGGTTCAGATGATCAAGGAGTATAATGGCAATGTTACTGCTCATACGTGGTCAGTGAGCCAACAGCAATGGATCAACGTCGGTACTGTCGTTGATGCTGTCGCCAGTACTGGCAAGAAGGTTGAGTACCAAGGCAAGATGTATGATTACGTTTTTGATGTCGATATTGAGGATGGCAAGCCTCCTCTGAAGCTCCCTTACAATCTCTCTGAGAACCCTTACGAGCGAGCCACCAAGTTCTTGGGCGACAATGAACTACCGCTCTCGTATCTTGACAACGTTGCCAACTTCATTACCGAAAATACCAAGGGAGCTACTCTTGGTCAGACTTCAGAGCCAAGCGGACCAGATCCTCTTGGCACCGAGTCGCGATACCGACCTGGTGAGAACACCCAGCCCAAGGTGCTCCCTCAGAAGGACTATCTCAGCATTACAGCAGCCAAATACGAAGGTAAGTTTTCGTCTCTGTGCTTTTGTTCAATCACTGACAGCGCCAGCCATCTTCAATAAAATCTTGACCGTCAACAAGAACATGGTTTCATCGGGTCGGAAGGATGCCGCCTTGAACCCATCCGATGAATCTTTGCTGTCAGAGCTGCGCGCCGCACTTGAGTCTAACAAACCCGTTCCCCAAACAGCCCTGCCTCTTCTTGTCCGCATACTTACACAATGGCCCTACTCAGACCGTCTCGCTGGTCTTGATCTCCTCCGCTGTGTCGCGAAGTACCCTCTTGTCGCTCAGTTCTCTGACCCAACTGCTGGCTCCCTTCTCGACCTCGCTTTCGCGTCCTCTCTACCCAAGGGCGAGACTCCCAATGAGAATGCTGCCATGATGGGTCTACGCACCCTCGCCAACATATTCTCCACTGCAAATGGCCGCTCGATTGTTAGTGCTCAATCGGACGAAGCCATTTCGTTCCTGGAGCGTATCGTTGGTGTCTCCTCGGAACCCATCGGGCCGTTCAACCGCAACGTCCTCATCGCTGCCACAACCGCAGCAATCAACCTCTCAGTGCTCGTCCATCGCGAGCGTCTCCTCACACCCGACCAGCGTCGCCGTCTCGCCATACTTCTCGGCACGATCCTCTCCCGCGATGGTCAGACAGACTCAGAGGTTCTATACCGCGCCCTGGTGGCGCTCGGCACGCTGCTCTCCGCATCAAAGGCGGAGGCGGCTAATCTCGGTATCAAGGGGTGGATCCAGAGTGCTGTTGGACGAAGCTCTGAGGAGCGTGTCAAGTCTGTTGCGGCCGAGTGCGCTAAGGTCGCTCCGTGAATGTGATAAGATGGTGACGGGTATGCAGGCCGTTGCAGCGCCAAGGCGGGTTACTCTTGACGTGGAACGACGGATGTACGGAATCAAAAGAGAATTACATAGAATTAGCGGTAGACGAATGTGCTACATTGTACACAAGCGCTTTGTAGTGAGAGTGATGTCCGGCGTTGTGAGAGGAGTCTGTCAATTGATCTCAATTGTGAGGTATCGTCTTGTTTCATCTCACATCAAAACTTGGCATCTCATTGTTGCGACTATTTATCACATGAATGGCACAATGTATGAACTTGAATAGTCGTAGATTCTCATTCTACGCAGTGTCTCAAATGAATGAAGCACATAAAGCTCCTCCAACACCATACCACGTGAGATATTTCAGTCCCCTCAGGACAACCGCAACATTATAAAGATAAAAATGAAAGGATATAAATAATAGTACCAAATCAAATCCAGGGATATGCCAAAAAATTCCCCGCCCGTTAAAAAAACGCCAGTCATTATGCTTTGTACAGTTTTCTTTCGTGTCGGTTTCTCATCAATCACGCAAACAGGGCATATGCACCCGCTGCCACGAGCGGTAGCCAGCCTGCCATGTTGAGCTGGCGCAGTGTTTGTGTCGCGCCGGATTCGCTAGCGTAGGCGTCGGAGCCGGACGCTTTGGTCGTGATGGTGTAGATCTCTGCGAAGCCGATGTCGGTGGAGTTGAAGCAGTTTGTCTCGTTAACTTCGGCGATTCTCTTGTCTCCTGGTTCGGCGAAGATGATGTCGACGCACTGAGCATGTTAGTCAGTTTTCCTTGACCACAAAATTTCGGGGGATAAGGGACGTACAGAGTACAGAGCTGCGCCGTGGACGGCGAGTTCTACGACCTGGATTGTAGCCTTGTCGCCTGCCTTGACGGTGGTGTTCTTGGGCAGAGGCACTTGAGGTAGGCAGATGGTTCCTGGGAAGGGATTGTTGGTGGGACCGAGGATCTGGAACATGGGGACGACGGGCTGTGTCATGTTTGCTGGGCCGCCGTCAGGACCTTCATCGCCAAAGCCCATGTTGACGTAGGCGAAGGCTGTCTCGTGGCCGCGGAACCAGCCGGGCTGGAAAGCGACAGCACCGCCTCTTGTGGGCCAGTATGTTCTGTTTGTCGTGACATTGTGACCGCCGCCTGATGCTGTTAATTGGTGTTGACACGGTCAAGAGGAGAGGATGGGGACGTACATGGGTAGACCCATTGCATGCCGTAGGGAAATGTTGCGTTGGTGATGAGGTTGTTTCCTCGCCAGCCGGGATAGGTAATGACGCTGTGTGCTGACACGATTGTCGCGAGGAGGACCGAGATGAAAGCTGACGTCCTCATGATTGCGGTTTGTGTGGTTATATCTCGTAGTATTTGGTGATGGATAGGTACTCTAGCAAACAGACAAAGAACACGAACAAGGCTCAGCCTCGAACATCAAATTCACGAACCAACGATTATAGATTGCAAAAAGAATTCTTCGGAGAAAAAGGAAGAGGAAGAGGAGGCCGCGAGTTCTGGTCTTAAGGCAGACACAGAGTGGCCATGTTTGCAGCCGCCCAGCTCCAAGCTCAGATGTGATGGCCCAGTAAGAGGCCGTTGACGATGCATCTTGGAGGGTGTGACCCCTGCTGCAGAACGGGAACACACGCCCAATGGGATCAGCGGGATGAGTGATTTACAGGGCTACAGGGCGTTTCTGGGCTGTGACTGGAGATGTCTTAAGCGCTGGCGCTAGACTTATTTCAGTGAGCGGCCAATAAGAAACAGAAATTGATGGGGTAGAGGGGCGGGGGTTGGTGATGGGATATGCCGGTTAATGAGGAAGAAGAAAGGGACGGTAGAGGTCGACTCACTTGATGGAAAGATCGGATCAGGAGAGCCGATGAACGATTCGTAGCCGCGTTTTGATCTGATGATGGGACTCTCAGACTCTGACTCTCAGTGAGTGATAGCTTGAGGCTCGGGGCGAGAGTGCCGCGTAGACGCCAAGATCCATGCCATGGTCACATCCACGACACACAAGCTGGACAAGCACAGACGCAGACACTACCGTAAGCTGATGCTCTTATCAGTACGGCCCGTGATTGGCTGCTCTCTGTACTCTGTGCTATCGTTGCATTTTCGGCGAGAGACTGGTTCAACCTGTGCTTGTTGGACCACGGGTTCTTCAATCGTGCATGTGCCTTGCCTTGCGGGATGGACATGGCAAGCGACAGCAATGACGATAATAACGAATCCCTCACAGAATAGCAATCATGGCGTCGCTGGGCTATATAACTTGGGCAGAGACAGACCAGTCGGAGTTTTCTCCCTATCGTTTTTAAGCACTGAAACTCAAAACGCCACTAACATCTTAAAACTCACCTTGTCTTCACCGAAGCTCACCGAGCCCTGTGGAGTCTCGAAATCTCAATCTTCACGACAATCTTCATTGAGAGACTCACTATAAGTGATCATCTCACCATTATTCCCCATCTTTCACGCAAGCGCTTCAATTAGTTCATCGTCTCACTTCATTTCTACTAATACTTTTCTACATATTGACTTTGACTTTCCATTCAGAGATTCACTTCACAATGTCTTCATCACAGGATTCTTCAGACTGGACAAGAGTCGTGCGCAAGGGCCGCAAGAACAGACGAACCAACACGGCATCTCACTCCTCCAGACACGTAAAGCCTCAGACTGAAGGTTTGAGATCGCCGGAGGATTTAGAGAAGGATTACAAGCAGCATCGCAAACGATGGGAGGACGAAGCGTACTCCTGTCCCCGTCTCCGTGAACTCGTCAAAGCGAAGGCGTCGCATTTGACAGAGATAAACAAGGCTGTTCACCTTGGCGTCGGGACATTTGATCCGAATGACGGGCTCAACCTTGATGGCAAGAGATCCACATTTGCGCAACTTGCGGCTTTTGAGATCATGGTTGAAGAACTGGGTACGTCTACTACCTTCATGACTTGTGAGTGAACGGCGCTGATGAATGCAGAGAAAATCACGGGTGGCAAGATTGAGACGTTCTTCCAAGACCCAGCCTTCAGCGCCTCTGACAAAAAGTTCCTTGAGACTATCGGCCACACTGTTCTCGATGATCCCAAGGGCACGCAGATGGTTGATGAGAAGACCCTCTTCTTTGGCGTTCATCTCTACAGACCTGTCTACAACGATGCGCTAGAGGGCGAACTTCCCGCACTATTTGTCGGGACCAGTTGGGACGATTGGGGAGAGTAAGTCATGCCCTGAAGTTCACGTTGAAGTTTGCGTTGCTAATTGGGAACAGCATCTTTGCAGACGAGCACATCGAGAACGTGGAGAGAATGCACAAGTCATATGAACGCTGTGACTTTCCCCAGGAGAGACTGGACTGTGCGTTTTCTACGACGAGTATCTACTGGAAGCCCAAGAGTGAGGAGGAGGGTGACGCTAAAGGGAAGGGGATTGTGATTGAGGAGGTTGAGATTGAGGATGGGGATGAGAAGGAGGAGAGTGATGGGGAGGACGAGTTGGTGAAGAAGCTTGAGGCTACTACTATTAATTAATCGTTGTTGGTAATTGTCAATTGACGAGTGTTTGTTCATGTCTGGCCGTGGTCTGAGTCTTGGGCTTCGATTGCTGGTGACTGCGAAGACTGCGCTGCACTCTCTGATGTGCTTCTTTTCTTGTGCTCAATTTTTTTCCGACATGCTCTCCTTAGTAAATCTAATGTCGCTATGTGATTTCCAATGTCTCTAGTCTCTTTGACCTTACCTCAGCCTCATCTCATGATCTTCGCAATCTCTCCTAACTTCTTCCAACAACATCATCACCAGTCGTCAACATCTTCGTAGTTGGCTTCCACTCTTCAATTCTACTGTCGCGATCGTTTCCTTCTTGACCCGTAGGTTTCTCTTCATGATTCCAATTCTCTTCGTTATCTACATCAACTCCACGCTTCATCCTCTCTTCCATCTTCATCCAACACCATCATCAGCCCTCGACGTTGTCGGAACATTCCCTCACACTTCAATTCTATTGTCGCAGTCATTTACTTCTGGCCTTCCAATTCCTTCCTTGGCTATATAAGTTCTCTTCTTCGTCTCCCTCAAGCCAACTCTTCATCCTCAACTCATGACCTTCATCCTCTCCTCTGACTTCTTCCAACATCATCAATCCCAACTTCAGACCTTGGCTTCAGTCTTCAATTCTACTGTCGCAATCATTCCCTGTCGGCCTTTCAACTTCTTAGCCTCTATTCTCTTCTTCATCAGCTTTGACTCAACCCTTCACCCTCTCTTCTGACTTCTCTTCTTCCAACATCAGGCCCAATATCCGATCTCGGCTCCATTCTTCAACTCAACTGTCGCAATCATTCCCTTTTGACCTTTCAACCTCTTCCTTGATCCATTCAATTCCTCCTCTTCATCTACTTCAACATAACCCTTCATCCTCACTTCGACCTTTCATCATCATCCTCAATTGATCAACAACTCCAACTCTACCACTCATCACCAACATCTACATCCACAACTACACCAACACCAACATCGTCGCGCACCTTTATATTCAAGACCTTGGCCTTTCCTGTAAGTCCCTTCAATCTCTCTCTTTGTCAAGTTCATCTCAACTCATCAAATCTCTTCAATCCATCCCACAAGTCCTCTAACTTCCTCCTCTTCTCCACTAACCTTTACCCAATTTCTTAATCTTTCCCTTCCTCTCCTCAAAACTTGCCTCTATTCCTCTAACCCGCCATAACATCTCCTAAACAGTCCACTCTCTTTTAAAAGTCTCGTCTAAGAACGCATCGCGCAGTGGTTCACAGCCTCTTCAATCCCTCTCTTATAAATTTCGTCTCTTCTCGTCATCCTTCCATCCTTCATCCAACTTACAAAACTCAGTCAATCACATCAACATTCTGCAAAGATTCTACAATCTTAGACCAACAACTCAATCTATCAAGGACTCTCGATCACAATGGCATCTTCATTCCCAGAGGCAAAGATTGACAAAGCCGCCCGCGAGGCAGAGTACCAGGCACTCTGGCAGGTCTGCGATCGCGCAACTCGCAAGCCCGAGTACATCTACGGCGACGAAAGACTCAAGCGCTCTTTTCTCGAAGATACATGTGACGCTCTCATGCTCAAGAGGTAACCGTCTCTCCTCAATTGCTGCTTGACTAAAACTGACGATGTGTAGAATGAAGCTCGGCAAGGTTCACTGTGGAACTGACATCAGCGCCATGGTGACCCTTCATCTTCAGCGCGAAGTCGCCGGCCGTCTTCTCGCGGGTGCTCGTATGGCTGCTCCAGCCCCTGCTCCCAATCCGATGCCGTACGTGGGAAATGGCCCTACATTCAATCCGCCCCAGAACGTGTATGCTGCGAACCCGGATCCATACAATGGCAATCCAGCTCCGTACAACGTCGCCCAGGCACCGCCACCAATCCCCCATCCCCGGGTTCGTGCTTCTCCCCCAAACTTTAACTTTGCCATCCCGAACAGTAACGAAGATTTGCGGCATGACATGGACAGAGCCATCAACACCCTCCGACAGTACGCCCAAAGAATCGCCACGCTTGAAAAGACAGTTGCCACTCTCGAAAACCAAGTCGCCAAGATCACTCGTGAGCGCGACATGTACAAGGCTGGGCCGATTGACATGATGAACGCCGACATGAAAAAGTCAGCTTCCGTCTCTCCTGGCATGTTCAACTACCCCGTCGAGGGGATCGAGGGCTTGGCTGCTGCCGCCGCCGCCGCCTATCCGCACCCCGGACCTCTCACGCCTAGAAGTCAGACGCAGGAAGGGGATGAGGATGGGGATGGGACGTATCATCCTGGAAATTGAAGCTTGCGACGGAGAACATGGAGTCACGTTTGCGTTGGGAGACGGAGATGAGGAGTTTTCACGAGGGCAATTAATGCCATGGTTGCTGGGAATAAGGACTTGGGCGATTGCTTGGTGCGAATGCTTGGGATGGGCACATCGAATCACGTTATATTCATCTTGCTTGGCCATTTAGCTTGTAACGACTGACGACGACACGAATATGCAGCGCCTACGGGCAAGATACCCATCAGTTAGGTACATCAATGATCAATTCATTGCAACAAACATCAATGCTTCATTCACATGACAGATCAATTCATCATATCACACATCCATGATTGAGCCAATGTTTGTATTGTTTGTCCTAGCCATTCCTCCATCAACTATATACTTTCGCAATGCGAATTGTTACAATAAGCCAGCCTTCCATTTCCATCGTCTACAAAACAATCGTGCCAGGCGTATCCGAAACAAGAAAAAAAAACATATAGAGGGCATAACATTTTACCTGTTTTCCCTAATACTCCGTAACTCCGTCCGTGATAAGACATTAAATGCTGAGTGTTGAGGTGATGATGGTTATATATCCAATGCATGCCCTCGCATCCGCAGAGCTGACATAAACTCAGACATCAGTCGCCGCGGAGCAATGTCGTGAATGCATCGAGTCGTTTATGAGGAAAACATGCTATAGTCCTGGATCGTCTTGCCGTCGCAGTCGGGAATCTTGACTCCCTTCTTGAGCTCGCGGTCCGATGTCAACAGACCCCATTTGTCTTCCCACGCCTTGCCCTTGGTGTTGTATCTCTCCTTCCAAGGCTCGTCAAATGCCTCGAACCAGAAGTAGTTGGTTCCGTTCTTGAGCGATTGGCAAACCCAATCGTCCATGAAGGTGTTGAGCTCGTCAACACCGGCAACTGATCCCTCGGTACAGGTCGTGGCTGAGCCACAGTTGGTGCCGCCTCCGGTAGGCCAGCCTGTCTCCGAAATGATGTTCTTCTTCGTGTCCGTCTTCCAAAAATCTCCATTGTTGGTCTTCCAGAAGTTGGAGGTCCAAGCGGCAGCCTCGGATGCCGTCACTCCGGCAAAGAAGGGATGGATGTTGGCCATGATATAGTCACTGTCCGTCGCAAGCTCAGATGTCCAGTCGTCACCCAAATCCGAGGTAGCAACAGGGAGCTTGAGGCCCTTCTTGTCGAGCTTCGTGCGGGTGTCGTCCAAGATCTTGGCCAATGTGGTGATGTTCATCTCCTCACGGTAGAGGATTTCGTTGGCAATGATGATACCCTCAAAAGGGTCATCACCATACTCATCTAGGATGTCCCACATTTGTGCCATCTGTCGATCGTTGGTTGTCTCGTTCTTGTCAAGCCAAACACCCATCCAGATCTTGGTGTCCTTGAGTTCCAATCGGTCGATGGCGTGAATTAACATCTGCGTCTGGTTGCAATCGGTTCCGTACAGCCGGATCTTGTTGGTAAGCTGACCCAGAATGGCCACGTCGCGAGTGATGTTGTTCTGAGAAGGTGGGTTATGCATACAGTCGGGATACTGTGAGTTGAGAGGGGTGTAGTCCATGCCGGGAAAGACTCTGTGGAGGTCGGGATTGTTGAGAAGTTCCTTGATCTCTGCGCTATTTTTGCCAAGATCGCCGTTCTTCTTGGTGTCGTCCTTAGCTGACTCTCCCGAACTCGATGTACTGTCGTCGTGCTTGCCATTGTTCACCATACTACCAACGACACCACCAACAATAGCGCCAACGATGACGAGGAACACCACGACGATGATGAGCCACTTGCACCTCTTACTCCTCCCAGTGTCCTTATCGTCTGAGCCATAGCCGTAAGGCTTTTCCCGTGCCCCATTCATCTCATAGCCTCCGCCTGTACCTAATTAGCAAATGCGCACACTTGGCAGACGAATACTGACCTCGTCCACCCAAAAGGCCGCCAGCAGCCGCACCACCTCCAACCGCGGCAGCGGTTGCAGAGGCACCCCTCTTCGCGCGATCGGAGTTGGAAAGGCTAAGCATTGAGTTCCTTTGGCTCTTTCCATACACAAGTCCGTCGTCTCCATCGTCAATAATGTCGTTAGGATTCACTACGCCAAGATTGTCGCTGCCATGCCGCGAATTCGTATATCCCGGGTATGGGTTATCGATGTAGGGATCGCTACCGTTGAAGTGAGATGTTGCAGCTGATGGTGGCCCCCGAGGAGAATCGTAACCGTGACCGTAACCTCCATTTCCGCCATAAGGGTTTTGCTGAGTCCGCGATGGAGGCGGGGGCAAGTTGGAGTGTTCCATTGCGCCTATTCCGCTGTAGCGAGGATTACGGTCAGCAACGTTAACAGCAATTCCGGTCATACCACCAGATGCCGACATTCCAAAATTGTCTGCGCCCGGTGTAGTATGGGAGTTTGGGTGATCATACCCCATGTGTCCGCCGCCGCCGCCACCTCCGTAGTTATTGTAGCCTTGATTGCCGTAATAACCGTGGTCGTTTTGTTGAGGCGATGGTCGTCGAGGACTGTCGTATCCAGCGGATCCAGCGTACGGCGAAGGCGATACTGGGCGACCGTGAGAAGAATAGTCGTCGTAGCCACCTTGTACACGGCTGTATGAAGAATCGGGATGTGCGCTTGGGTGATTTGATCTCGGGGGAGCGTCGTAGTGGGCAGCCGAAGGTGAATAACTATGGGGAGGAGGTATGGGTCTTCGGGGAGAGGAATCGTAGCGATTATGAGAGTCGAGCGGTTCGCTCTCGTAGGGATCCCCGTGGTAGTTCTGCATTGTGGGTAATGGTTGGATATTAAATCTGGATCCAGGCGGAGGAGCAGGCAGGTTCAAGCAGTGTGACACTGATCAAGATAGCGATAAGGTAGGTGACTGCAACAACTCGAGAGCAGGCAGTGCCAAGAGGATCGATGATGCCAGCAGCGGGCGCGCCGCCTCAAGGGGATCACCTTGGAAAAAAGGTGGATCTATCGGCGAGATATAATTTGCAGTTAAAACGAGAGGGTTGGAGAAGCGCAAGGAACAGGAACAAACAAGCTGAGCGAGTGGAATAAAGAGACCGACCGACCCGAGCGAGTCTTTCTTTCTGCCTTGTTATTGCGAGAGATGGAGCTGAAGAGAGGGAAAAAGATGGAGTGACGAGGACAAGAGTAGAAAGAGCTCAGCCAAGAGTCAAGGTCAAGTCAATGGATCGCTGTTACAACTGTAACGGCCCAGTTGGAAGGAGCGAATGGGGGGGCAGGTAGCCACACCGGATGCGGACCGATAACCTGGAATTTCCCATTTTAGCGGGTGTTCCGCCCTGGACTCCCCGGCAACCGGCCCCTAGTAATCCGGCCAAGGCGGGACCCGTGACGCAGATGTTCTGGAACCAGGGCCAAGAGCATTTACCTCGTCGATAATGCGAGAGATATTGTATTGCAAATTAACAAAAAAAATGTCATTAATACTGTTCATTCAACTTGACACTCAATAGCAATTGCAAATGCCCTTCAGAAACGGTTCATTGCACAGCCTCCTCCAAAACGGGTGCAACGGCAGACACGAGGTTGGAAAATCCTCTAGTGGTGTGTGAGATCATCAACACGGGGTTGAACTTGTCTTGACTTGGTCAAGCCAGCTCCATCTTCCCATAATGGATGGATGCGTGCGTTGCGCGTCCTCAGAACCTTGATCTATATTCGGAAACTGTCTCAGTCCAGGGCGAACTTCTTTGTTCTAGTTTAATCGCCGTTTATTCCCAAACTCAATTACTTCGTATTATACGGGAATGACCACGTAAACCCCCAATCAAGCAATTCTTAATTTGCTAAACAATGGCCTCATCGTAAAACTCAAACAAGCGACGAGGGTCAGTCCTGTACGAACATGGCACAGTTGGGTCTCGATTATATCCCCCTGTAAAATACGACTTTAGCCTGTCGATTGACGATCAACATGGAACCTCGGGGGTTACAGAGAAGGGAGAGACGAGGATAATCTCTGAGAATTCAGCTGTGACTATCCAGTGATCAACCAAAACAAACAGAAACAGAAACAGAAATGTCTTGAAAGTCATGAGGCTGGAAATGAATGCAGCCAAGATAACAGCCGCAATTGATCGATGCAAGACGGGTCTCAACATGTGGCGTCGCCATAATATTAATTTATCATCCTCATAATCACCAGCGGCACAGCTACCACCAACAGGCCATCATATTAACCAGCTTCCAGGCGCTATTTCGCAAGACTAAACAGAGAGTAATGAAGAAAATTCTGGTCTTTTTGTTATCTTGTTTATGTACCACAATTCGCAGATTAAAGGATCCTCTGTGACCCGATATTCTTCCCAGTTTTACTTGTCTCCCTGGTGCGACACTGTTTGTTTATCGGCGATCCTCTCGCCTGAGAGGCTTTTTATGCGACACCGTTGGTCGATCAAAAAGCTCTGTGCTTCAGAAGTTCAGCCGATAAGAATTCGCTAAATAACTGCTCATCGGCGATTTATGACAAAAACCCCACCAGATTTGACCAAGACCAACTGTAGCTCCCTGTCAGCAGAAAGACGCCTAACAATTAAATAGTCTCAGCGCCGGACCTGTCAGCAAATTGCAGCTGTCGGGTCGCTTTAAGGCTGAATTGTCGGTATGCTCGTGACTTAAAATGGCCGCTGGTGGCTGAAAATGGAATTAGCCATGAGGCTTAAAAAAAGAAATGACATTTGCGGAATGTTAACGTCGAGACCCCTATTTCTGAGACCGAAGTTCACGAAAAAGCCATCTCCGGTTGGGGACGGAATCCCTTGCTTGCGGATTTGCATCTTGATCGCGGTTCAGCCGTACTGAGAGGTTGTCGTGGAACGTTACACGATCAATATGTACATCATCATTAAAGCGCAAGTCAGAGGTGCACAAAGTGCAAAAATGTCTTGCATTGACGTCAAAGTACTCAATATTGCATCCCTTGACAGCTGGGGGCATGAACTGGCGGCTGACTGGCTTTGCTTTGCTCTGGCGTTTTGAGAGTTCTTGATGTGGCCGGAGCTGAGAGATGCAGGGTACGTGACTTCAATTAAAACAACATGAATATGATGTTCAGTGCAAGTGGGCGAACAACGCCAGGCTGGTAAGAAAATGTTTATTGCGATGCTTAGTTGAGAAGTGTGGACTGGGTGCTTTGCGCAATATTGTTTGTTGAATACATTTACGGCTTTCTACATTGTCATGCTCGACCAGATGCTGAGCTTTAGAAAATTTAAAGCAGCTCCATTACTGACATTCTCACGACCAACAACTATTGCGCCGTCCACTGTCGGAGGTACCACAAATTCTTCTCAAGCCATGTCTCAACCATATTTAGGTCTGTCGCATTGCTTCAGACATTGGCGAGGCTGCCATTTCGCATCAAATACTACCTGCAAGGGCGTTGCCAGTTCACCATCTCTGTTCCTCAATGCTCGCATCACTCAATCGATACTTGCCAGCCGCAATATGCATACTCATGCCTACTACATGATGAGCACGATTGGTTTCCCTTGCATTTGGTAGAAGTAGTCTCTTTTCATTATACATTGCACTCGTAGACGCCCCATAACCATCCGCATCTCCAAAACGCCATCGCCTCATAACAGCTTGTAGACTTTGTGCTCAGAATGCACAAGACCTTTCAGCAGATGTCCTGACTTTCTATAGAAAGAAGAGGCTCGATTGGAGTATGGTAGGACCTAGATGACTTGCAGTCTGACGAATGGCATCCTCCCAGCATATGTCCGAGCCCGAGAGGCCAGAACATCCACAACACTCTTGCAGCATACTTGAGAACATGGACGGGACATGTGCGATGTGATCTGATATCATGAGAAACACTTCAAACTTGTATCCCGTCATCAACACATATGTTCTACCTTCATGGTTGTCGTTACAAGAAGCCAATGCTAATTGGCCAGCTGTCAACAACACCAAATTAAGCATCACCAACTACAAACTACCAATCACAATAGTCTCTCCAGATGGTCAATAAGATCTAGATCATGCACCGACCCAGGGAACAAGGAAACACAACACGCGACCTTGCTATACCATCTATTCGCCCAAGGTCTTGAAGAACCCGCTCATGTGACCGGCTCTTCGATCAACACCAGCTAGCCTTCAAGCAAATCTTCCCATCTTCCTTTCTCAAAGCCGGCATCACACAGTAAAAACAAATAGGCATACACGGAAAACTCGTCCGTTTCCCTACAAGCCAAGGACATATGACGTTGTATACAAGGGCCTTCCTCCACAACACCAACCAACGAGCTCTCAAGCGGAGCAAAACTCCGACGCCGCTCCACATATCTCAACCACTGAATATCTTTATCGATCGATTTCGCCTTGAACAGAGTCGATATACAGTGATTTCTTCAACAGATACGATGTAGATTGTATTGATGATGGATGGATCTCGTCTGGTGCGCACAGAGTGATGTCATGGCGACGATGAAGATGTTGACATCATACATGTGTAGATGTAGCATCACGATGCTTTATATGTAGCCCTACAGCGTGTAAGACATGACTTTTATCCTCTTCATTCTCATAATTCTTCTGTGATTACACACAAAGATCCAAAAAGCTCAATTGAACACTCATCTTCAAACACTCCACAAACAACACAATCATCATGTCTATGAACCCTGAGTCTGCTACTCCCCAACAGGGTGAGTTCCGAAGCAAAGTCGCTCCTGCTGAGTCCCTCACAACCAAGGGCGTAAGTCAATCATCATACAAGTACTCTCCATGATACATCATACTCACATCTGTCAGCACAAGCCCGGAGTTCTCGTTGGCAACGACGCCGTCCCCGAGTTCCACGCCGAGCAACATCCCGCCGGCACAGCTCCCCCCGAGAACACCTTCCAGCCCAACCCCGAGACCGAAGTCCCCGCCCAAGCCCCCGGTGCCTCAGGCGCCGTGTCTGCCTCTGCAACTCTCGGAGGTGCTACATCTGCTGATGTGCACACCGGTCTAGGCAAGCCTGCTGCTGGGCAGACAAGCCAGGAGCTTCACGGTCGCGAGAAGAAGGATCGTTCTGGTCTTACAGGTGTTGGCGCGAATCCCTCTGATCCTATTCATGATATGGGTGCGGACCGGGATCATCCTACGAACTATCGTGGAAAGGGTGGTGAGAATGCGGTGGATTATCCTGGTGCGGAGGATAGAGAGCCTGTTAAAGCTGAGCAGGTTGCCAGTGAGCGCGCTTAGATGTCTGCTGTGCGGACGACGTGGAGCGATATGTATTATTAGCCATGATGGCTTAATGAGTTAATGCCAATGATGTGAACCAACGGATCATGTCAATTGTTCCATGTGCGGTGAGATGTGAGGCTAATGGCCAGGGTATAACATCGGTTGAGGTGCACTTCGCTCGGCGCCCAGCGACAATGTGAGGTATGAATGATTGGCAGAAGGTAAATGCCCGGCGTTCGTATAGCTGCATCAATATGCCGGTAGATCTGCAGGGCTTATTCATCTTTAGCTCCGGATGTAATCGGGCATGTCAGCAGCACGGGTCCAACATCAGCACCCGTCAATGAATCCTAGGCTGTAGTGTCGCACACGGCGAAAGGTGATACAGAAACGACCTGACCGAAGACTCGATAAGCAACCATCCAGGTAAAGCAGTGTACACTTGGGCATCAATGTGCGCCATTTGCTTCGAGATAGTGGCAAAATGGTTCACTGCAATGCAATGCAACCATCGAGGCATAATCGTCCAGCCTTGACCCCTCAGCCCTATGCAACATAACAGTCTGCATC